AATATTAAATATATATAATAATAATTTATAATAACAAATAATAACCCCTCTGTTTGATTCGATTATTATTTATTATTATAAATTATTATTATATATATTTAATATTAGTCTCAATTTTATAAAATAAAATTTATATATATTAAAAATTATATATGGATGAGAGAGAGAGAGAGTGTGTGTGTGTGAGTGTGTGTGTGTTAGAATGAAGTGCTGGGTTTGAGTGTTCGTTGAAAATCTGTTTTCAATACACGTTTTCACATTTTGTTTAAAAGTGTGGATATCATTCACGCTTTATTTGGTTAACAGTAAACGCGTGGTTTGAAATCATATTTAAAAAAAAAAAAAAATCTTTAAAGGCGTGATTTGTAATCACATTTTATAAAAAAAAAAAAATTAATTTACGATTTTACAAATTTTTCTCGCGAGGGCTAGGTAAAGGGTGAAAGCGTGGTTCACAATCATGTTTTAGCCTAATTTGAGAATTCCGTTCAAACTAGGCCTAGTTTGAGAAATAAGTTGTTATTTTGGCTTAATTTGGAAAAAGCCTCCTAATTTGGTCCCCACCAGGGGTGAGCAGCGGATATATCGATCGGCAAAAACCGACCGAACCGATCCGATCCGGCTCATTTTGGATGGATGCATGATGACAAGCGGACGGTTGCAGATTGATTTTCTTCAATCCACCAATTTGGCGGACGGATGACGGATTTGAGGTTCCTTTAGCCGCAACCGAATCGCCAAACCGCGAGCACCCTAAGATTTTGTGTTTTCAATTTGTTTAAATATTTTGTTTGTATTTTCAATTGAAAAATAATTTAAATATTCTGTTGAAAAAAATTTTTCAACTTGAATATATTTTTTAAATTGAAAAAAATAAACGTATTATTTATCTATATTTTTTTGTTTTTAAATCTAACTCTAAAAGTAATAAATAGAAAATATGATACATGCTGCTTGGTTTTTGTTTTAAAAAACATATATAAATGTAACAATACAATTTCTACTATTGCTCTGTTCATGATTTTGGTAGTTTGAATTGTTTTTATATTTTAAGAACCACATATTATAATATTTTATGTGGATGAGGCATACTGTGATTGTAATATATGGATGAGGAATGCAGTGATTGTGATATTCAAAAGTTTTAAATTTTTTTTCTTTGGATGAGGCATGCAATAATTGTAATAATTTTTTAAGTAATTGACTGTAATACTTTATTTTATTATTTTTTTTTGAGGAAGTGCACAAGTTGAACTATGTTGAAAATTTATAAAATTTCAAACCGCCAAACCGATTTGCATCCATCCGCCAAACCGCCAATCTGCTCAATCCACATCCACCGGATTAGCAGACGGATGTGGATTGATTTTCTTCAATCCGCCAATCTAATAAACGGATGACGAATTAAAAGTTCTGTAGCCGTAACTGACCCGCGTCCACCCCTAGCCCCCACCAATCCACTCCTAATAATAGGGAAATGAACTATGTGAAGAGGTAAATCTACACTTCTCTACCTATTTATCTCTCTCTTCGATGTCCTGATGATGATGGGACATAGCTTGGTTGCCTAAAAAATATGTATATAATATGCCTTTCATACCTTTTTTTTTTTATTATAAAATTTTATAATTTAAACAGAAAATGTCATAAACATTTTCACTACAAAAATCCTGACCTTTTATTTATTTATTTTTATAAATGCAACAACAAAAACCAGTGTAATAACAAAATCACCAAGTTTAATAATAAGGGGTGGTTTGGGATCATTTAAATAAATGTATTTTTTGATTTTTTTATAAAATATAGATTATATATAGTTTGAGTTTGAAGTGATGTGATAGAAAAATGTTGTGATTTAAATAAGATGATGTGACTAAAATTAGATAGTGACTTTTTAACTTTTTTAAATTATGACAAACAAGACTTAAAAATCACAAAGTATTATAACATTATTATTCCAATTTTAAGATGCATATTATAAATTTACTATTTATAACTTTATCAAAAAAAAAAAAAAATTATTATACTCTACATAAAAAAAAAATCATAACTTTCATAAAAAAAAATCGTAACGATGCCCGTTGTAGATTTCCCCAATACTATAATATTTTTTTACACTTTCTTCAATATATGTTAATTTTATCAATAATATATATATATATATATATATTTTTATGATATAAATTGTGTTTCAAAAGTCCAAAACTACCAAATAACTTTTTTTCCCTTAAAAACCCCTCAAGTGGCTTCTTTGTCCCACCCCTTGTCTCTCCACCTCTCTCTCATTTTGGCATTTCCTTGTTTCTCTGTTTTGTGGGGGAAAACAAAACCAGAGAAAAGAAAAGCTCTCAAGGAAGAAGAAAATGGCTTTGAAGCTCAGCCCCATCACTTTTCAGTCCCAGAAGTACCCTTCTTTTGCTATTCCATCAATGGTCACTCTCAGATCTCCCAAGTTTGTCATGGCTTCCACCCTCCACTCTGGCTCCAAGTGAGTTTGTCTTTCAAATCTCACTTGTTTATTCGGATCTTCTCATAGTTTGATGTTTCTTTCTGTTTCTTGATCTGGGTTCATGATTTTCTTTCTCTAAATTGGATTTGAGATGGTTCAATTTGAATTTTCCTGTTGGGATATTGGCGTTCTTGTGTATTAAATTGTGTTACCTGAGATGGGTTTTTCTCAATCTTCATGGCTTTGGTTCTCTCTGCACACACATACCAACTCAAAGACAAGCTTTTGGTGATATCATGGTAGGTTGAGATATCAAATTTTGAGGATCTGATTCATGCTTGTGCATAATATTTAATTGTACTAATTTTGCTTTCTATTTTTTTCTTTTTGGGTGATGGTTATTGTCATTACATCTTTATATATATACACACTCCATCTGAATCAACATGTATTTGTTATTTTAATTGCATGATTGAATTGATGAATTGGATTGTAGTTTCGCTTAAAGGCAGTTGGTTCTGCTGTTTGAATTTTTATTATTAGAACAGAGTTGTTTCTGTTTTTGTTTTGGTGCTTTGTTGTATTTATGCGTTGTGCAGCTTTTGTTCGTCTTTTTCAATTGTGTCGGCTGTGGCGGTTATGATTTTTATCATTATTCAATTAAAATGTTTGTTTTCATGTGTTGAGACTGAGGTTTGAAACTTTTGCTTCGTTGGTTTTGACTGGATGCCTCAATTGAGTCGTATTTTTGGAATGTGTCCTTCATCTACTTCTTCACTGGTGACATGTCATCAAAACCCTTCCCGTTCACAAAATTTTATAATTAAATCTGGGTTAAAATTCATGTGCATTTAAAAAAAAAAAAAAATCAGGTTTAATATACTGGCATTTTATTCTGTAATATTCATACTATAGAACAGGTGCATGATTGGCTGATGTGCCATGGTGTAAATGGTTTTGTATGCATGTGGAAGCTTTTTTATGCATGTTTGTTTGTGTGTGGAAATGATCAAAGCCGGGCCAACATTTGTACTATGTACGTTTTGTGCTTTGTAGTTCAATTGAATTACCATGTTAGCATATGGTTGTATTTCCTGTGTTTTCATATCCTTTTCACTTTTCTCCTTTTTCCGGTGTCACGTATATTATCTTTTGATCTCCTTGAAAGTGTCACGCCAATATTTTCAATTTGGAGAATTTAAATAGGATCATTTCATTTTTTTCTTTTTTCGCTTGTAACTTGGCCAAGTGGTTTTTAATTTATTGTTCTCGGTGGTTAGTTGATTTCTTGTGACATAACATCCAAGTTGGTGAACCTAGTTCTAATATTTTGATCATCCATCCTGTTTCTACCCAAAAGTGGGGGGAAAAAAAACAAAAACAAAGAAAATGTTTTGGGTCTATGTTTTTAGGTGGTGCATCTTTGACTTTTTCTGAAAATTAGCAGCTGTATTTCATGTTATATTGACTAATAATCATGTCTTTCATTTTTTAATTATTTTTTTATTTTATTTTTCCCTTTGTTTCTTCTTCATCTTTTTGGTTTTGGTAGTTATCAGTCAGCCTGCTAAAGTTTTGCCTTTAGAGTTTGAATTGTATAGGCCACTATTTTGAAATTTATTTGACAGCGCAAAGGAAAAATCAAATGGTTAGTGTGCCAGTTAGATGGGTAAAAGGTCCTGCGGAGTCTGCTCCTGAAGTTGGATTTTAATGCATCCTTTTTTTGGGCTCTTTGTTCATTTAATTTTTTTGTTCTTTTTGTTTCTTTTGTTTTGTTTGTTTTTTTTTTTTTGTTTTTTTTTTTTGTTTTTGTTTTGTTCTGTTTTGTTTCGTTTTTTTTTTTTGTTTTTTCTGTTTTTTTTGTTTGTTTCTTATGTTTTTATTTTTATTTTTTGATTTTGTGTAAGGAGAACCTACATAAAACATCTCAGGCAGTGTTACAAATTTTGTATCATGTTTCAGTACAAGATAAAATCAGCAAATGTAATGACTCCCATCATTAGTATATTAGATGTATTAGGCACTGAAGTTTGCTGGTCTTTCCGGAACTGTGACACTGGAACATCATTGTTATTTTGTACCATTGTTATATATGGTATTCTCAGTTTGTTTCCATTTTGAATCTTTTTGTTGTAAGAAGTTTTACTTGTTCATATAGCTTATGAAACTCTAGAAATAATTATTATGCGAGAGATCACTCAACACACTTACACTTTGTGAGTAGGGTGATTGAGTGGGAGGAAGGAAAAGGGAAGGGAGGAGGGGAGTAATGAATTTGTTTTCTGTTGTTTGTTATGAAGGAGAAGAAAACGGAAATGAAAGGAGGGATTGACTTTCTTTTCTAGCCAACCATTTTCCTTCAAAAAATGAGAGGGAGGTAGAAACTCCTCTTTTTGACCATTTTATCCTTTAAAGAATTCTTTCTTCAGTATGTAAGGGCATAGTGGTAAAATAACGTCACCTATTTCTTTCCTTTCTCCTTAACCAAATAAAAGTAGGGATAAGTTATTCCTTTCCCCTGCTACCTTCCCTTATTTCCATCTTATAATCCCTTGGACCAATTAGAGATAAAAGTTGAAATTTTTTCCTCCCATCCTTTGAAGAAACCATGGCCTTGAATTCATGTAACTTCTCTAGTATTCACTAAATATCTATATATTGCATCAACATGGATTGAGTTTTACTGATTTTTCTAATCCAATATGGGCCAGCAATGTTGAATTATGTATTGTTTTGACAACTAGTTCTAATGGTGATGCATGAGATTGATTAGCACAGAGCTGGAATCCTATCTGTATATATAGACCCGTTTCCATTATACTTTTACATAACATGTTTGCTTTATCTTCACCATATTATGAAAGATAATATAATTTCCATGTGGTTTAATATTAAGTAGACATGATACACTGCCTACTGATTAAATTCTTAATGGTATGTTTGTTCATTGGAATGAAGTGGAATAAAATGATCATTCCATCAAAATGTCAGTTCCCATGTTTGGTTTATTGACAAAATGATGAAAAATGTACTGAGAATGGAACCATCATTCACCATTGTAAGGGAATAGTCATTTCATAAGGAGGCCAGAGAATGACCATTCCATTCTATTTTATTCCAGTGAATCAAACACTACCTAAGAATAACAATGACTTGAGCACATGTATGTGTACTCTGTTGGCTCTTGTGTCCTTGGATAACATAATGGCTTGAGGAAACAATAGCGAAAAATTTATTTATTTTTACCTACATGTTAACATTTGTGCATATATACTTCAGGTCATCAAACCAGTGTCTTGGCCTTGCCCTGCACCCAAACTGAATTCTAAGTATCTAATTCATGTTTCTCCCGTCTTACTTAGGGAGGTTGAGAATCTCAAGAAGCCTTTTAGCCCTCCTCATGAGGTTCATGTTCAAGTAACACATTCCATGCCACCCCAAAAGGTAGAGATCTTCAAAAATTTGGAGGATTGGGCTGATGAGAACATTTTGGTTCACCTGAAGCCAGTGGAGAAATGTTGGCAACCTCAAGATTTTTTGCCTGATCCTGCTTCTGAGGGATTTCATGATCAAGTCAAGGAACTAAGGGAGAGGGCAAAGGAGATTCCAGATGACTACTTTGTTGTTTTGGTTGGAGATATGATCACAGAAGAAGCCCTTCCAACTTACCAAACAATGCTAAATACCCTAGATGGTGTTCGGGATGAAACAGGGGCAAGCCTTTCTTCTTGGGCAAGATGGACTAGGGCTTGGACTGCTGAAGAGAATAGGCATGGTGATCTTCTCAATAAATATCTCTACCTATCTGGGCGTGTGGACATGAAGCAAATTGAGAAGACAATTCAGTATTTGATTGGGTCAGGAATGGTAAGATCCTTCCTATGTATTTTGATAATTTTGGTTCTAAATTTTTTGTTGGATTTTGTTAACGTGTGTCCTTAGGACACGTGTTAATAAGCTTAAAAAGGTTGTATATCTTGCATGAAAGTGCATGTAATAAAGAATGTACAATTTTTTTAAGTATTGTTAACATGTTCCCTAAGGGCACACATTAACAAGACCTTTTTCTGTTTACCATTATTAATCTTGTAATTCTTCTGAAGTCAATATTGATGTGACTTTGGGTAATGTGTGAAGTAGGTTGAGGAAATGATTACATAACTTTATGATCTAGTTAGGTCTTAGGGGCAGAAGTATACCCATAACTTCTTCAATGCAATCTGTTTTCCTACGATATAAGGTAGTGAGGAACAGTTTCACTTTGCTCAGTGTAGTGAGGTTATACTGCTCTTACTATTCCCACAAAATTTTATCTTCTGATTTCTCAATTGTCATGTGTTTGACAAGGAGCTGCAGCGTTTCTTTGTACGTGTATGGTTGGTGCTTTCCAAATATTTGTTAGATATGATTCACCAACCACTTTCTGGTTCTGATTTTCTGATATTCAGTTATTGTTGTTTGAATTTTCAAGTAAATGTGAAGCTTTTGTAGGCTTATCATTTGGGTTTCTGGGAAAAATATTTCTGAAAAAGTTTTAAATTTTCTTATATATTAGTTGACTTTCTGTATTTGGTCAAAAGTACGTACAATTTTTTTTCCTTATCATTTCTTTTTAGTTTTGGGAAAAGTGCATGGGATAACTGTGAGCAAATGAAACACTTCCATGTTTTGAAGTTTGGGTACTGTAGTTTTTTGGAGATGGATTTTGAAATGGCCCTCCTACAAGAGTATCTGTTTCTTTGATGTAAATAGTAAGACGGGTCGAAGGCTGTTGGAGTTGTTTGTATTCCTGGATGAGTATGCCACTACCAACTGCATGAATCTACAAGTGCAACGAGGTCTTTTACACTATGTTTGGATTGAGTGATTTGGAGAGAAAAGAAAAGAAATGGAGTGATATGTATTTCTCTTATTTGTTTGGATAACCTAAGTAGAAAGAAATGGGAAGAAATGGAGAGACTCATTTCTCTTATGAGCCTCATTTTCAATCTTCCCAAAAGTGGAGAGATTAGGAGAAAAATGAAACCATTATTTTCATAATACCTATTTTGTGCCTATAAAAATAAAAGAAATAAAATGATTGAAAATATAAAAAGGTTATTTTGGTAATATAACATAAAATAATTTCTTTTCTTTTCTCTTAATAAAACCTAACCAAACAAGAATGAGAGAAATCACAATCATTTCTTTTCTTTTATTTCTTCCTTATCCAAACAAAAAGGAGAGAAATCACAATCATTTCTTTTCTTTTCTTTTCTCATATTACTTAAGTAATCATTTCTTTTCTTTTCTCTCCCAGGTTCCCAAACATAGTGTTAGTTGGGAGTATTAAATCTGACACACCAATCGTCCCATCTAATTTTAACTTGTGGACACCATTTTGCTCTCTTGTCTCAGGATCCCCGGACAGAAAACAATCCCTACCTTGGATTCATTTATACATCATTCCAAGAGCGGGCAACTTTTATCTCTCATGGGAATACAGCCAGACATGCCAAGGAGTACGGGGACATTAAGCTGGCTCAAATTTGTGGAACTATTGCCTCGGATGAGAAGCGCCATGAAACTGCTTATACAAAGATAGTGGAAAAGCTCTTTGAGATTGACCCTGATGGAACTGTCCTGGCTCTTGCCGATATGATGAAGAAGAAAATCTCTATGCCAGCCCACTTGATGTACGATGGCCGTGATGATAACCTTTTTGAGCACTTTTCAGCTGTTGCTCAGGGGCTTGGTGTCTACACTGCTAAGGACTACGCAGATATATTGGAATTTTTGGTTGGTAGGTGGAAAGTGGAGGAACTAACTGGACTTTCCGGGGAGGGACAAAAAGCGCAGGATTATGTTTGTGGGTTGACTCCAAGAATTAGACGGCTTGAGGAAAGAGCTCAAAGCAGGGTTAAACAAGTACGCACCGTTCCATTTAGCTGGATCTTTGATAGAGAAGTGAAGCTCTAAGTGCATGTGTGATGGAACAAGAGGTTCAGCTTCACTCTCCTGCAAGTCTCGTATTTTACGTGGTTAAAAGAACAGGTATAAATTTTGACTTGTAGTTTGTTTTTCGCCATTCCATTTTCTTAATACTGTTGTGTGAAGGGATTTTGTTTAGAGGGACTCTGTTTAGCTGTAGATATGGTTTGTTTCTCGCGTGGTGACATTAGATCTTCACATGTAGTTTTGTTGTGTTCTTTCAGTAGTTTACTGTACGAGTATGTTTCTGTTATTTTCTGAGTCAAACAAAATAATCTGTCTTTGGCAATTTGGTATGTTGGTCTGTAATTGTCTGATACAGTGATTGCTCCAGCTAAAGAACCAAAGCTTCTATTTTTAGAATTATGCAGTACTTAGTGCAATGAAATATTGAGAAGTATGATTGATGCATACACTTCGACATTGAGTTTGATATTTGAATTGAAATTCTTGACGTTGGTAGAATTTTTTTGTGATTATTTTGAAACTTCAAAGTAAATTACAAATTAAAGATCTCGAGTGTCTTGAGCCATTGATCTGATTTATGAGATCTAGTTAACCCTGAAAGCATCCCACATTCTTATATTACTGCTTTTGGGCTGTTGAAATAGAAGAATCGGCATTTCACTTGGTTTTCTCATGTATTTAATCATCTTCCTTGCCTTGGTTGGCATCATATTAGGGGAGTGATCCACAATCTCATTTTCTTCCTCTTGTTTCTTTGTTGCTTGGTTGTCTTACATGTACCAAGTAATTTACTACCTTTTGCATACCCATCCCGTTGATGGTGCAACCTTTAATTATTTGGATGCCCATTTTCGGTTTGGAAGCCTAGGGTGAAATCTATGGGTCGGAAGACCTTGTAGTTCAATAATTACAATTGGTTCATTTTTATTTTATTGTTAGTACTAGTATTATTTGAGTTAGGATTTAACTTAATAATTACATTGAATATTTTGAGTATCGCGTACTTTGTTATTTTAACTTAGGGGGTGTTTGGCAATCAGAGGTTGAGGCTATTATAGTCTCTTTTGGAAAATTAAAGCCAGCATTGTAGCACCTTTTTATTGATTTTCAAAAAAAAAAAAAAAAAAAAAAAAAAGGCTGCTGCCCGGACAGTGTAGGCACAGCCTACACTGTCACAGCCGGACAGTGTTACAGCAAGGGCAAAATTACCATTTTGCCTCTTCATATCAATTTTAAAAATAAAAAGTTAGGGATAAATCTGTCATTTTAAATTTAAACATCATTTCAACACACTTTCCAATACAACAACTCAACTAAAAATTCATCTCATCTTCCCAAACACAAAATTAAAATAGCCTACTAAAATAGCTAAAAAGTCAAATAACCTACTAAAATAGTCACTTTCCAAACGAGGCCTTAATATTGTTTTGAGTGTAATATTTGAGAGTAATCTAGGCTGTGACTGTTGTGTGATTTCCTCCTTTACCTACCCTATTCTACATCACATGCTTCCTTCTTGAGTGCGATATTTTATTGACTTTTGTTTTCAATAGTACATGTGTTTCTCACATCTGGATTACAATCTGGTCTTGACATGTGTTTTTTCTATTTTGCAAGTCATTTAACAGGTCATGAAATCCTAAAGGACATTTTGTCCACATTTTTGTTCTAATCATTTACATTGTGTTTGGTCGGAGGATTTAAAAAGGAATTTAGAAAGAGAAAATAAAAAAAATGTGTGAAATTAAGTGAAATATAAGTATATTTTATTTACATTTCACTTATCTTTTCTTTTTCTTTTTCTAAATTTCTTTCCAAATCTCTAACCTAAACACAATGTTAGAATTGGCTACATAGATCGATTTTATTTGTGTTTGTATCGTGTTTAGTATTTTATTTTTTACATAGAGATGGCTTAAAGACTAGAGAAATGAGAGTTGTGGTAGGTCTACATCCAACTAAAACTTGTAGGGTGCCCCAGTTGTATTAACTGCGAAAAAGCTAGAAGTTGGACTTCTTTATTGAAATTAGCTCTTGTTAGCAAATAAGCTATTATATAACCGAAACCAACTCAACTAAGAATATCTTTTTTTTTTTTTTTGAATAATACTTAACAAGCTTTTATACCGATTATTAATAGTTGGTTGCTTGAATACATTTCTATTTTTATTTCGCATTAACGCTGTGTTTGGTTGGAGGATTTGAAGAGAGATTTGGAAAAGGAAAAAGAAAAGTTAGGTGAAATTTAAATAAAATATACTTACATTTCACTAAGTTTTACATATTTTTTTCTTTTTTCTTTTCAAATTCCTTCCTAAATCTCCTAACCAAACACAATATAAGAGTGTTTACTAGAGTTATAAAAAAGTAAGGAGTGAGTATTTAAGTTGTAAAATAAACCAATCAGTTCAAGTTTCATTCATTTTTGGTTTGGTAAAATTTAATGTAGATTGACTTTTCCAACTAAAACTTGTAGGGTGCCCCAGTTGTATTAACTGCGAAAAAGCTAGAAGTTGGACTTCTTTGTTGAAATTAGCTCTTTTTAGCAAATAAGCTATTATATAACCGAAACCAACTCAACTAAGAATATCTTTTTTTTTTTTTTGAATAATACTTAACAAGCTTTTATACCGATTATTAATAGTTGGTTGCTTGAATACATTTCTATTTTTATTTCGCATTGACGCTGTGTTTGGTTGGAAGATTTGAGGAGAGATTTGGAAAAGGAAGAGAAAAGTTAGGTAAAATTTAAATAAAATATATTTATATTTCACTAAGTTTTACATATCTTTTTCTTTTTTCTTTTCAAATTCCTTCTTAAATCTCCCAACCAAACACAATATAAGAGTTGTTTACTAGAGTTGTAAAAAAGTAAGGAGTGAGTATTTAAGTTGTAAAATAAACCAATCAGTTCAAGTTTCATTCATTTTTGGTTTGGTAAAATTTAATGTAGATTGACTTTTTATTTGAATTAAGTTATAGTTGAACACATTTTGAAATTCCTTTTTTTAAACTTCATTCGAATTTTGCTAAAAAAGTTCATATGCATTCTAAGATTATGTAAAAAAATCAAGTTCACGTAGCTCAGGATTAAAACACTTTTGAGATTGATTCAAAAGTTAATCAAAACAATCTTTTAATTTGTTTCTTAAATTTATTTTGTTTTAGTTAAATTTGAACAACTCATTACTTGACTCGTTTACAACCATAGTAATCAAATTTATTGAAAATTTTGTAAAGAAGAAAAAACCAAATAAACTAATGCCAAAACTTCCAATTTTTTTTGGGAAATTACAAGTTAGTGGGAAGTGGAGAAATTATTTACTAAAAGATAGGGGTGTGACATTTGCTGTGGTTTCTTAATTAGCATAGAAAACAATTACACTCCATTTACGTTTGTTATTATTTTTAGGGAGATATTACAATGTGCACCATTAAAAATATACATATGATATGCCTTTTACAACTTTTTCACAAAATTTTATTGTTTAAACCCAAAATGTCATAACTTTTACATTACAAAAGTCATAATTTTTTTTTCACTGACAAATGTCATAACAAAATCTTAAAATTTTATAACAAAATCTTAAAATTTTATAACAAAAATCACAAAATATCATAACATTATCATTCTTAATTTTAGGGTGCACATCATAAATTTCGCTATTTATAACTTTATTACAAAATGTCATAACACACATAACAAACAATCATAACGGTCATCATAAAAAATCATAACTTTATTTGCACCATTTGAATAGATACACATTGTAAATTCCTCCTTATTTTTAATCTTTGTAATTGTTTTTTCGGCATGACGAAGAAGCAAAAGCTAGTAAAAAACTATGCCTAAACGTTACTATAGTTGCACCTTTATGAATTTGAATCTTCAGAAACTTTTATCTAATGAAAAATTCCAAATCAATACTATGTTGTGCCCAAGGCTAAGTTTGGTTCGATGAAAGTGGTGGAAAGTGAGGAAAATGAAATATACCTATACCATTTTTTTTTTCTTTTTCTTTTTTTTTTTTAATTTGTTTAGTATAAAAGTGATGGAAGTTATAAGAAAATTATTTTTCTTATACTACTCATTATAGCATAGTAACTAAGGTGTAGTTTGGAAATATTTACAATTTATTGTTTTTAGTTTATATTAAACATGTTTATGTTTATTTTGAGTAAAAATGATAACAAAAATATATTTGGTACATAAATATTTTAAAATTTTATTTTGAAACAAGTGACAATGAGAGGCTACAGGAGGTGGTTATCAATAGTTGAAAATAATGGTCGAAGGTGGTTGTTGGCCGCAAGAGGTAGTGGCCAAAGGTGGTTGCCATCGGTGAGAGGCAGTTGGCACTAGAAGTGGTGGTCGAAGGTAGTTGTTGGCCACTAAAAATGGTGGCTGAAAGTGATTGTCGGTGGTTGGAAATGATAGCCGATCAACTGCCTAAGTTGGTAGTTGAAGGTGATTTTCAAGAAAATATGGTGGCCAAAGGTGGTTGCTGTTAGTGGGAGGTAGTTGGTGGCGATAACACATTGTTGGTGTGGGTGTTGATTTTTGACCTTACAACCAAATAGGGAAATTAGTTGGAGAGCATCGATAGAATAGAATGAACCAACAACCTACCAACAAGAAAATGAGAATACCATGATGGCTCGTCCACTCGGGGGCACTCCGATGATCAAGTCAGTCAATTTTATCTCTCACAAGATATCAAACAAGAACTAAACTCACAAATCAATGCGTACCTTAGACTCACGGGAGTGCCTTTCTTTTATAACCAATACTGCCCTGATCCCTTAGAAGTCTCACTTCGTAAGACTCAAGCACAATGCTGATCTCGGACTCTTAGCTAGATAGAGTTAATCTCTATGTGAGCCTTATCTTTATTTAGACTAAGTGTCTTCTCTTATCCAGGAATCTTGTCCTCTATCCAAATATCTCGGATTTCGGTATTACCGTAGAGAACCTCGGTAGTGCAGTGATTATCTCAGTAAACATGATCCATCAACATGGTACCTCGGCCGACATCCCGATATCGCCTTAGCCACATGGCGTCATTCTCAAAATATTTCCCCACAATTGCCCCTTAGGTTGTATTACCTCAACAACCTGAGGAGATGGAACCTACATCGTTTCACCTTACAATATTGTCGGCTTTGTGCCAGAATGAAGGTTCGCTTTCCATCGAGATCATGACTCGTCGGCATCAAGTAACAAGGGCTCAGTTGTCCTCTTTATCAAAAACCAAGAACCAAGTTCTTTTAAAATCTCAACCATGATTGCTCCTCTGGCCGAGGTCATTACCCTACTAGTTCAAGAATTTCAAGAGCCCCCATTGTGCATGAGCTGTCATGCACCATTATCTCAACCGTTTTCCACATGTCGCCATTTAATTCGCCCGTACCTGTCACGCGCCATCAGGTCACATCGAATCTGT